ACCCCATTGGTCCTCGTTCTCTCTTCTCCTATTCTTGTAGCAAGAGCTAGAGAATCCCCTCAACTTTGCACTTTTTACAGATGAAAAAAAAATATCTATTTTCCAATCCCACACTTTAGCATGTCTGCATTCTTTGTTGACCGCACAAAAAGTAGAGCTCTAGAAAAGATCATAACATAATTAATCATTAAAATGTTTTAATAAAACACTTTCTACGTTTTTCCGTAACTCATCAAAAGGCCCATTTTTCAAAATACATGCTCAAAAACGCTAAAAATAAAAATGGGGAGATATTACAAAATAGGCACAAATATTTTTTTTCTCGAAGTTTGACAGAATAAAGGTATTTGTGGTGAGTAGAGATCCATACAGAATAAAAACGAAAAAAATTAGATGATGGCAAAAAAGTGGCGAAACTTACAGTTCGTAATTTACTGAAGCTTCCACCAAAATTTGAAGAGTTTTCTTATTCGTCAGCACGACGTCACCATCCAGTAAAAACAGAAACTCGGTCTCAAATTTTGAAGCAAACGTCCTGTAAGTAAACAAATACTGCACTGGCTTGGTATAAACTTTTGTTTAGTCGAGTTCACTTACAATGCTTCCTGCCTCGCTTCTCTTTCGCCAATATCCGAAACTCCATTGACGATCTTTTTAGAGTAGTACTCCGTACCATATTTTGATAGGAAATCCATGACCTTTACGAGCAATTGCATTTACGTGACACATGGAGTACAACCACAATTAATTAAACCAGTCAAATACCGTTTTGATGTTAAATCGCTGAGAATTGTAAATGTAAAGAGCTATCTTCTTTTTTGGGTAATCCAAACCAGCAAATGCTTCGAGCATCTGGAATAGTCAAAATTGAGATAAAATGCAAAAATCTGCGAAAGAGTATTTTATGATGAGATTAAATGATTACCTCTTCAATGAATGGTATTGGTTTGGCAATGAAGATGGATACGGTAATAAGTGGAAAATCTGTTGGGTCTTTGATCTGGAAAAGAAGCACGTAATCTTTGTGTCATTGGAAAAATCTGGTTTGATATTGTTAACTTTTGAGTTAATAGACCATTTCTTTTGCATGAGCTAAACTCAAAAAATTTGAGGAATTTTGAAATCATGGATTAAGAAACTTATTGAAGTGTCACTTATTTCGCTGGTGAAGCACTATAAAGAAGTGAATTAATTAAGAAAGCTTCTTAGAATGAAGAGGTGACTAAAGAGCTTCTAGGGTGATAAAGTAGAAAACTCTTATTGAAAAATGAGCGTCAAAACAATTATAAAACCAGTTACAATTGAATCAATTGGAGAAAATTCAACTTTTAATAGATTATGCTAAAGCTCAAGAAGTGTTGAACTCAGCTCTAAAGCTCAAATCCAATTGCTAATTTTCATTTAAAAAATAAGTCAAAGATGTTGTTTTCCCGAGGGAGGAACTATCAAATCAAATCCTGATGTTTTCATCTCCTAATATCATAATCGTTCACGCAGGTGAAGATGCCCTCATCAAATAATTTTTCAAATTTTGAATAATCTCCATAAATTCCCACTGAAAGGTCAAGTTTCTGCTTCTTTCCGCAGAATGCGCACCCGCTCACAGAAGACCATCGTCCGGGTATGTAGTTCGCAAGATAGTTGAGGTGACTTTTACTTGGCCCATTGCCATGTAAAATGGCCGGATGAGTGTTGTATGCTGCATTGTAGGCCTAAGGTTAGATTCTTCTGGGTTATTTGTGAAAACCATGAAAGTATCACTCACAAGGGCTGCTCCAGTATCTTCATCGAACTGCAGTTCCACATCGTCAGTGACTCCATTAAGGTTTTGGAATATGCGTGATGCTGAGTCAAGTCCAATCTTGAGTTGTTCCTAAAATAACATTTATAATTATTTAAAAAATATACCGGAAATACTTCCTCAAAAATCAATTTACCCGCAATTTACTATTCAAATAAATCATTGTATAGTAAAGCTGATCATCCT